AAATCAATCCTGAATATTCATTGGAAAGACCGATGCTGAAGCTGAAACTCCAATACTCTAGCCACCTAATGGGAAGAACTGACTCATTGGAAGAGACCCTGATGCTGGGAAAATTTGAAAGCAAGAGGAGAAGGGGATGACAGAGGATGAGATGGTTGGATGGCACCACCGACTCAATGGACATGAGTTCAAGCAAGTGCTGGGAATTGGTGATGGACAGGGAAGCCTGGCGTGCTGCAGTTCACAGGGTCACAAAGAGTCGGGCATGACTGAGCAACTGAACTGAACTGATTTTATAATGGAATATAGCCAATTAACAATGTTGTGATAGTTTCAGGTGGACAGCAAAGGGACTCAACCTTGTACATACATGTATCCGTTCTCTCCCAAACTCCTCTCCCATCCAGGTTACCACACAACATGGAGCAAATTTCCCTGTGCTATAGAGAGGGACCTCGCCGCCTACCCATTTTAAATATTGCAGTATGTACGTGTACATCCCAAACTCCCTATCTAAAAGTTTTCAGTGTGATTATCCTCAAAATATCAGCTTTGTTTTTAAAAGGGGCTTAGTTAAAAAGTTAAGTAATCTTTTGAACAAAGTGAAAGTGTTAGTTGCTCAGTCATGTCCGACTCTTTGTGACTCCATGGAATGTAGTCTTCCAGGCTCCTCTGTCCATGGAATTCTCCAGGCAAGAGTGCTGGAGTGGGTAGCCATTCCCTTCTCCAGGGGATCTTCTCAACCCAGGGATCGAATTCAGGTCTTCCATATTGTGGACAGGTTCTTTATCACCTGAGCCACCAGGGGAGCCCAAGTTCCCCTTTAGTGTGATCAAAACAACCCCCTCCTCTTATGATACAGTTCAGATTCCCCCGCCCCAGGCCCCTGGCCCCACCCATTCTGCACTGGGTTGACCTTCCCGTTTGTTTTGCAGTTTAGATTGTCAACTCCAGCCCAGTGTGGTTTCGTCTCTACAGAGGATCCTGTGAATACACTTTCCAACTTTCCCACGGGTAGGCCTATGGTGACTTTTTTCCCTATAGTTATTTTTTTCCCTCCCAGAGCCCTGGCTGAGAGGAGATTTTTCTCTGCTTAGGGGTGGGATTTTCTATCCTCCTCATTACCAGGAAGGTGGCCCTGCGAGAGTCAGGAGAAGACAAGACCGAATCAGTCTAACTCCCTGTTTGGAGTACGCTCAAAGCCCTTTTCTGTGTGAGTGGACACCTCTCCCAGTATTCCACTTTGCATCTTTTGCTAAGAAGGGTCGTGCAACCTCCCATGGGTATTTTTGTTCCTGGAAAAGACTCCTCTATTAATTAAATAAACAGAAGACAAACTTCTGTCATAAAATTTGAAATTATGTGTGAGATATTAAAGGAAATTGGTTACAATTTGCTGCAATTGATATGTTCACTACAAATTACGGATATTTTGAAATTGTCTGACAATATTATTGTGCTAGCAGCAACTAAGAATGGATTTTCCTCTGTTCTGATTGAACAGCTAGCTATCAAAAAAGTGTCATTACTGTACAGACTTCCTTGGTGGCCCAGTGGTTAAGGTTTAGCCTTTCAATGCAGGGTGTGTGGGTTTGACTCCCAGTCAGGAAGCTATGATCCCACGTGCCTCACAGCCAAAAACTCAAAACATTAAACAGAAGATATATTGTATGAGATTGGTGCAAAAGTAATTGCGGTTTTGCATTGTTGAACTTTGCCATTTATATTGGAATACTTTCTTAAATAAGTGTGGTTATACTTCATTTCAATGCATACATCTCACTTTGTTTTTTTTTTTTGTTTTTTTGCCAATGACCTTTTACTTGTTGCTTCTTTTATATTTATTTTAGACTATAAAAATGATGTTAGACAAAAAGCAAAGTCAAGCGATTTTCTTATTCAAGTTCAAAATGGGTCATAAAGCAGCAGAGACAACCCACATCATCAGCAACATGTTTGGCCCAGGACCTGCTAGAGAACATACAGTGCAGTGGCGGCTCAAGGAGTTTTGCAAAGGAGATGAGAGCCTTGAAGATGAGGAGCGTAGCAACTGGCCATCAGAAGTTGACAATGACCAATTAAGAGGATTGTCGAAGCTGATCTTCTTACAGCCACACGAGAAGTTGCCCAAGAATTCAACGTAGACCATTCTACGGTCATCCAGCATTTGGAGCAAATCGGAAAGGTGCAAAAGCTCATTAAGTGGGTGTCTCAAGAGCTGACCACAAATCAGAAAAATTGTCATTTTGAAGAGTCATCTTCTCTTATTCTACACAAGAATGAACCATTTCTTGATCAGATTGGGATGTGAGACAAAAAGTGGGATTTTATATGAGATCATGGTCGCTCTTTGGTGGTCTGCTGCCAGTCTGATCCACCACAGCTTTCTGAATCCTGGGAAAACCATTACAGCTAAGGAGGATGCTCACCAAACACATGAAATGCACCAAAAACTGCAACGCCTGCAGCCAGCATTGGTCAACAGAAAGGGTCCAATTCTTCTCCACAACAATGCCCAACTGCACATCACACAACCAATGCTTCAGAAGTTGAACAAATTGGACTAAGATGTTTTGCCTCATTCACCATATTTACCTGACCTCTTGCCAACTACCAGTTTTTCAAACATCTCAAAAACTTTTTGCAGGGAAAATGGCTTCCACAACCAGCAGGAGGCAGAAAATGCTTTCCAAGAGGCTGTTCAATCCCAAAGCATGGATTTTTATGCTGCAGGAATAAACAATCTTATTTCTCATTGGCAAAAATGTGTTGATTGTATTAATGTGTTGATTTTGATTAATAAAGATGCATTTGAACCTGGTTATAATGATTTAAAATCCACAGTCTGAAACCATGATTACATCTGTACGAACCTAATAACAAATTCAATGAAGACTTTAAAAATGGTCCACATAAAAAAAAAAAATCTTAAAGAAAAAGAAGTTGTCATTACTACAAAATGCAGTTGCCATATGATCCAAAATCCCACTCCTGGACATATATCCAGACAAAACTATAATTCAAAAGGTACATTCACCCCTATGTTTATAGAAGCACTATGTACAATGTCCAAGACCTAGAAGCAACCTAAATCCATCAACAGAGGAATGAATAAAAAAGATGTGGTACATATATACAATGGAATATTACTCAGCCATAACCAAGAATGAAATAATGCCATTTGCAGCAACATGAATAGACCTAGAGATTATCACACTGAGTAAGTCAGAAAGAGAAAGACAAATGCCATATGTTATCACTTACACATGGAATCTAAAATATGACACAATGAACTTATCTATGAAATAGAAACAGACATAGAGAACAGATTGTGGTTGCTGGGGATTGGGGGAAGGAGGATGAATTTGTCCCAAGCAGATAATTGAGTCATTAGAAACGAATAAAGGAAAAGACCTAAAACTAGAACCACAGGGACAAAGAACAAAGAAAAATCTTGTAAGTCAGAAGAAAAATGCCATAAATAAGTCAATATTCCTTGGAAGGAGAGGAATGCTGATCTCCCTACAGATATTTTATTCATTCTTTGTAAGTGAACACAGCACCCCTCGAAAGTGTTCTTAATTCACAGAAAAGAGCTAAAGTTGAGAAAACTAAGTTCTCAGCTTCCTTTAACTTGTTTTTCTGGATTCCACCCTTGGGCTCTCCTTGGAATCCAGTAGCCCACACCTCAGGCCACTTTGGAAGCAGCAGCTGTGCTTGGAACTCACTGTTGACACAACAGTGTGAGCTCTGAGCTGGTTTCTGTAAGGACAAGCGGAGCCATCCCTTCCCAGAGTCGCAGAAGCCGCCTGACCTAGAGCCGCTGCCATGTCCAGCCAGTCACAGGGGATCCACCAGCTCCTCCAGGCAGAGAAGAGGGCCAAGGACAAACTCGAGGAAGCCAAGAAGAGTAAGTCTTTTCCATTCTGTCTGATTTGTCTGAGGCAAGAGACACAGATTCAGTCCCTGGGTCGGGGAGATCCCTGGGAGCAAGATACAGCAACCCACTCCAGTATTCTCCCCTGGAGAATCCCATGGACAGAGGAGCCTGGTGGGCTACAGTCCATGGGGTCACAGAGAATCAGACACAACTCAGCATGGGCCTTCTCTGTCACAGAATGGGATGAGGGGAGCCCAGCAGGATGCGCATAGATCTTGGGGGTGGGGGGAGATGCCGATGAAATCCTCGCCCCACCACACTCCCTGGGAGAGGCTGGCTGGGTCACTGAAACTACCCACTTGTCTGTGTCCCACCACTGTAGTGGGATGGAGTCCTCAGCTCAGATCTTCAGGACCGGTCACGAGCTAAGTGAGATGATTAAGGGCACTGAAGTCACGGAGGCTCAAGCTTTGCCTCTGAGCTTCCTCCCCGGCGCGACAGCTCAGAGTCTCAATACTATGCCACGGTTCCAAGACAGACAACCGGGAACTCCCTGGCCATCCCGAGGCTCTGTCCTTGGTTGGGAAACTAAGATCTCACGAGTTCTGGGGCATGGCTAAGAAGAAAAGAAAAGGCAAAAAAAAAAAAAGGACGACTTCCAGACTGAACCTACTTATTAGGGAGTGAATTTCCGCAAGTGACCTATCCTCTGTAAGCTTCGGTTTCTGTTCCTGTAAAATTGTGATCGGAACAGCTCATGGCTCATTTTTCTCCCTCTCTGGATGGCTTTTCATTTCCAATGTTCAAAAATTTTTGTTTGTTGTTTAGTCGCTTCAGTCATATCTGACCCTTTGTGACCCCATGGACTGTAACCCGCCGACTCCTCCAAGCTTGCATTCTCCAAGCAAGAAAGCTGCAGTGGGTTGCGATTTCTTTTTCCGGGGGATCTTCCTGACCCAGGGATCAAAACTGCACTGGGTCTCTCGGTCTCTTGCATCTCCTGCATTGTCAAGTGGGGTCTTTACTACTGAGACATCCTTAAAAATATTCCCATTTAATTCTCATTTGCTAACATTCTTGCTATTTAGTCATTCATCTACTTAATTACATGTAGGATATCCTCATTAAACCTCTATCTCCTTCCTCTTCTCTTTGCTATTCAGAACAACCATATGAATTAGGTATTACTATTATTTCCATTTCTTGTATGTAGAAACTGAGAGTCCATAATTTGCCATAGTATTTTTTAAAAATAGAAAAATTCATCCAGGCACCATGATCAAAGCATATCTTGTGTACTCCTCACACCAGCCTATTTTGTAGAAAGGAGAACGTGACCCTTAGAGAAATCATGCCAGTTGCCCAAGGTCGCACAGAGGAAAATCTTAAAGACAGAATTTGGATGGGGTCTGAGTCCTCAGCCACAATCTTAACAACTGCCCTGTACAAAATGTACTTGATTTTTATAATGAATGAACTAACACTGAAGATCTCTGAGCCACATTCAGGTTCCCTGAGCCAAGCTCTCTTTTTTTGCACTCCTCCATTTCCTGTCACATCGCCACTTAATCCATCACAGAGACGTCATTACCTTCCTCCAATTGCACGCCCTGTCCCTGCGGCAATTAGAGTCTAAACCCTGCAGATTAGGATTGTGTCTTAAAACCATTGCTTATACATGAAGTGATAGGAAGAGGGTGGGGCCTGCTTCAATATGCTGAAGGAAAGGCAGGCTCAGGACACTGAGAGAGAGAGAGACAGAGACAGAGAGAGACAGAGACAGAGAGATACAGAGAGACAGAGACAGAGAGAGACAGAGACAGAGAGAGAGACAGAGACAGAGAGACAGAGAGAGACAGAGACAGAGAGAGAGAGACAGACAGACAGAGACAGAGACACAGAGACAGAGAGAGACAGAGAGAGAGAGAGAGACAGAGACAGAGAGAGACAGAGAGACAGAGACAGAGAGAGAAACAGAGAGACAGAGACAGAGAAACAAAGACAGAGAGGGACAGAGAGAGAGAGACAGAGACAGAGACAGAGACAGAGACAGAGAGGGAGGGAGAGAGGAAGGCAGCGTCAGGCACCTCTCAGTCCCCAGGGGTTTCGACCACAGGTAAAATCATTTTCCTTTCTTAAGATAAACTGACTCCCTGAGCACTCAGTCGTGTGGGCGCCCACAACAAACAGAGGAAGAGGCCCACGGAGGAGCTGGAAGAGGAAAGGAGGGTGAGAGCAAGTGAGGCCAGCCTGGACCCCTCCACTCCTGTTTCTGCAGGAGACCGAGCCAGGACGGGCCTGCTGGTGTGTGGTAAGGATGCCGCACTTCCAGTGCAGGGGGCGTGGGTTCCATCCTTGGTCAGGGAGCTAAAAATAAAATTCTTTTTTAAAAATTTAAACTAAAAATAAAATTTTTAAAAACATGGCCAAGGGTAGCAAAATGGTATAAATGCAGAGCAACTGTATAGAAAACAAAGCAGTCGCTTATCTTTTTTCAGATTTCTAAACCACATTTAAAATATCCAGGACGGAAGACCAGCTTATTTAAGACGTGATAATTATGTTACCTTTGCTTTCCCTTATGGAAGAAACAAAACAATAATAAAGTGCACAAACAATATTATCAATAAACAATAAGGTCCCACTGTGTAGCACAGAAAANATTATTTCTCATTTTTCAATGTCACTAGAGAAGCCTAATGAGTCATTCAATTTGTTTGGAGGTGGGAACCACTCTAAAGGATCTAACCTCAGATTTCATAATAAAGATAAAAGCCAAACCTCTTTTCCTTTCCTCTAGTAAACACGCTGCCTTTGGACAATCATCCCTCAGAAGTCAGTACTGGAAAATCCATACCATATTTTTCATATGCAAAATGTTAATCTTGTTTACCAGTCGCTTAAAGTATTTGTGTACTTTTTTTTCCCCTTAGTCTTTGTTCGGAAGTAGTCAAGCAAATATCAATCAGTAATAGTAAATACTCTGACCTTAAAAACCATTTTGGAAAATATGTTCGAGAATGTTATTTCAACCAATAACCTCTGCACTCTGCACACACACACATTTTTTTTAATTTACTTATTTTTTCATTGAAGGATAATTGCTTTACAGAAGGTTGTGGTTTTCTGTCAAGCCTCAACATGAATCAGCCATAGGTACACATATGTCCCCTCCCTGTCAGCCTCCCTCCCGCCCCACCGCTCTAGGCTGATACAGAGCCCTGTTTGTGCACTTAGCTTTCTAAACAAATATTTGCTTGTTTGTTGGGCTGCAGCAGGGGCTGCCCGTGGCACAGGGGGCCTTCCACGTTCGCGGCAGCACGTGGGGGCCTCGATCGCAGCCTGTCGGCTCTACCACCCTGACCAGGGATCGCAGCTGGGCCCCTGCATTGAGAGCAGAGTCTTAGCCCCTGGACCACCGCGGAGGTCCCTGCAGTCAACTTTATAGAGGGTGTCTGTCTTCGTTCTCAAAGAGCATGGGCCCTGAGGACCGTTTTCACGGGATGAGCCCTGTTTTCTTGCTCAGCTATAACTGAGCATTGTACCCCCTTCACAAGCATGCCGAGGTACCCTGGGTAGCTCCTCTTGTATTTCACTGTTCTTTATTTCATTCGTTTGTTTATTCAGTTCAATTGCATATTTGATCAGAGTTAGAGTAAAAATTCAAGGCACTGTTATTAACAGGAGGAACAAGGACTTGAGTCTTTGGAATATGACTTTTTACTTCAAGCTTGACGTTTTATGAGAGCACTGTTTCTCTCGCTTACATGCACTGCAGACTCGGAGATGCATACACCTCTAAGGGCGGTAAGCAGACAGTGTGAGCTGAGCCTCGGGCTGGAGGGACGGTGTTGGGCAGGTCCGTGTCCCATGAAGTCCCACTGGATTACACTTTGCGTGTGTGTGATTGCTCAGTTGTATCTGACTCTTAGAGATCCCATAGACAGTAGCCCACCAGGCTCCTCTGTCTGTGGAATTCTCCAGACAAGAATACTGGAGTGGGTTGCCATGCCCTCCTCCAGGGGAATGATACTTTTGCAAAATAAATAATTTAAATATTTCTCCTTCTTACTTAGGTAATACGTCAGTGAGTACAATAATGTAGACTTGTTTGGATGGCCTGCCATTAGTCTTTTTGTAATTGCTTATTTGTTTTCCCAGTATACAGATATTCCAAATTTATTTCAACAAGCATCTTGACTTAATCATTTTTTTCATGATGCAAGTGAGTGTTCTGATTCAGGGAGACACAAATTCTACTTAACTAATAAAGCAAAAAATGTTGCAGTGGAAATTCATGGCCCTGTTTTGCATGTTTTGTAAGCTTGTAAATGCTTCCTTTTACTTTATAGTCCACAGACTAATGGGGTATTTGTAGGTATATTGGACTTTGATATCTTCGAGTGGGTCGTATTAAAATAATAACCATGCAACATTTTCATCTATTAAAAACATTTGGTTATATTCAATCTAGGATCTACATAAAACTACATATAATATAAATATATATATATATGTTTTAACAAGGAAAGAACAAGTAAAAGGAAAAGTAAGGGAATTACAAGCAGGCAGAGGAACGAAAGGGGCGTGAGGACCGACAGAGAAGCTGCTCTCTAGCAGTCACAGGCCCCAGCAGGGAAATGCTGCTTTGTTTTCCGGGCAACTTAGTACTGTTTGTGGTAGGTGAGCAGAATGAGGGCGTTCTTTGAACCAGCATGGTTATATCATAATATTAACAACCCTCTCAAAGCCAGAAGAGCTTTTTTTTCTCTCCTTCTATGTGGCAGAGTTTCCCAGGTGGCACAGTGGTAAAGAATCTGCCTGCCCATGCAGGTTTGATCCCTGGAGAAGGAAATGGCAACACACCCCAGTATTCTTGCCTGGGAAAGCCCATGCACAGAGGAACCTGGTGGGGCTACAGTCCATGGGGTCACAAATAGTGGTCACACACACACACACACACACACACACGGTAAAACAGAATAGAAATGTTATTAGTAACAGGTAGAAATCTCCAAACACTCCCAAGT